CAACAAATACTAACAAAGATGATCCAGCAAAATATACAAAGAATTATATATCAGGACCAAGTGGGATTTCTTCTAAGGATGAAAGGTTGAGTTAACAGCTCAAAATTCATTAATGTAATACATGAGATGAGTAGGGTTAAAACCCAAAGTGCAACATTTTCTCAATAGACTCAAAGAAAATACATTGACAAAACCCAATGCCCTTTCATAATTAAAATACTCAGCATACTCAGAATAGGAGGACATTTCCAAAAATCATTGTGAACATCTGTGGAAAACCTACAGCTAATATACTTAATCATGAGCTTTTCCACACTACGTAGAGAGGGGCCTATTCGGCGTTCTCAATTCCCCCGTAACTTACAGGAAAACTTTCACAATGTCTGGAGTCCTTGGTGTCCTGCAAATGAAGAAAAAGGATGCCCTCAAATTCCATGCAGCAAGAACCCACTTAGGTGGCACCAACTTTGACTTCCAAATAGAACAGTACATCTACAGAGGGAAAAGTGATGGCATCTATACCATAAATCTGAACAGAACCTGGGAGAAGCTTCTGCTGGCAGCTCATGCCATTGCTGCCATGGAGAACCCCACTGATGTCAGTGTCATATTGTCCAGGAGTACAGGCCAGCGAGCTGTGCTGAAATTTGCTGCTGCCACTGGAGCCACTCCTGCAGCTTCACTCCTGGAAACTTCCCTAACCAGATCCAGGCAGGCTTCTGGGGGCTGAGATTTCTGGTGGTTACCAACCACAGGGCTGACCACAAGCCTCTCACAGAGGCGCCTTATGTTAACCTGCCTACTCTTGCTCATGCAACACACTCTCTGGGCTATGTGAACATTACCATCCCTCGCAACAACAAGAGGCTCACTCAGTGGGTCCGATGTGGTGGATGCTGGTCGGGGAAGTTCCGCACATGCGTGGCACCACCTCCTGTGAACACCCATGGGAGGCTGTACCTGATCTCTACTTCTACAGAGATCCTAAAGAGATTGAGAAGGAAGAGCGGGCCACTGCTGAAAAGGTTGTGAACAAGGAGGAATTTCAGGGTGAATGGATGGCTCTGGCTCCTGAGTTCACTGCTGTTTGGCCTGAGGTCACAGACTGGTGTGAAGGAGTGCCAAGTGCCCTCTGTGCCTATTCAGCAGTTTTCTACTGAAGACCGGAGCCCTCAGCCTGACACTGAAGACTGGCCTGCAGTCCCCACTGCAAAGGCCACTGAGTGGGCGGGAACAACCACTGAGTGGTCTTAAGCTATGCTTCCACAAGCTCTTAACAGGACAGAAATAAGGTTGATGGAAAATAAAGTTTCTTTAAAAAAAAAAATCATGAATGGTTGAGTGCTTTTCCCTGAAGATAAGGAACCAAAGAATGATGTCTACTCTTGTCACACAATTCACCAGTTTACTGGAGATTTTAGCCAGCACCTTTAGACAAGAAAAGAAATAAAATGCATGCAAATCAGTTAGGAAGATGTAAAACTATCTTAACTCCTGTATGAAGTGTCTTGTATATGGAAAACTCTAAGGAATCCACAAAAGAGCAACAACCAAAAAAAAAAACAACAACAAAAAAAACCAAAAACAAAACCCCAAACTATTCAAACTAAGAATTGAGTTCAGCAAGTTTGTAGGATTCAAAATTACAATATAAAACTCAACTGTATTTCTATACAGTGGTAATGAACAACCTGATAATGAAATTAAGAAAAGAAATGAATACACAATAGAATCAAAGGAATAAAATATTTATATAAATTTAACAAATGCTCTGAAAACTACCAAGTATCATCAAAAAGTGTTTAATAAATGTATAAATGATTAGAAAGCATTTCAATTTCATGGATCAGAAGACCTGTCGAAATGCCACTACTCCACAAAATAATCTAGAGATTCAGGGCAGTATCTATTAGATCTCAGCTGTAATCTTTCTAGAAATTGGCAAGCTGTTTCATGAATTTATATGGAATTGCACATAAACCAAAATGACCAAATTCTTCTTGAACAAGAACAAAGTAGTAGAACTAACATTTCCTGATTTTGAAAATTTGTGCACCAAAAGGAATCAGGATGGCGTGATACTGACACAAAAATAGAAATACAAATCTATGGAATAGATTGAGATTTGAGAAACAAACCCCTGAATCTATGATCAACTGATATTTCAAAAAGGTAACAAATACTGGGAAAATAATTTCTTCATATACTGGTGCTGGACCAACTGGATAACCACATGCTAAAGAAAGAGGCTGTACCATTACATCACACCATATAGTATCATTTCCCAAAAAGATGCAGATGCATAACCTAAACATTAAACAAAGCTATGATAAAGTTAGATAAAACCTAGAAAAAAATTCCTGACCTTGGATTTGGCAAAGCATTGTTAGATATGGTACAAAGAGCTATAATTTTAAAAATTGGTAATTTAGACAATCAAATTAGCAACTTTTGTACTTTAAAAGACACCACCCAGAAAGGGAAAACACCTCTGAAACCCTTGTGCACCATTGCTGGGAATATAAAATAGTGTTGCTGGTATGAAAAACAACATGGCGGTTCATCAAAAAATTAAGAATGAGTTACCATCTAATCTCGCAGTTCTACTTCTGGGTATATATCCAAAAGAATCAAAAGCTAGGACTCAAGCGGATATATGTCTACTCATGCTCATGATGCATTTTTCCCCATAATAACCTAAAGGTAGAAGTAACCCAAGCATTCATCAACAGATAAATTAGTTTCAAAAATTTGGCACATCCATTCAATAGAGTATAATTCAGTATTTAAAAAAGCAATCTCTGACATGTGTTACAACATGGAAGAACTTTAAGGACACTATGCTAAGTGAAATCAGCCTGTCAAAAAGGCCAGACACTGTATGATTTTATTTGTATAAGGTAGATAGAATAGTCAAATTTATATAGACAAAAAGTAGAGTGGTTGTTGCCAGGAGCTGGGCTGAGGGGAATGAGTTTTGTCTAATGGGATAGAGTGTCCCTTTTGCAAGATGAAAGTAGCCCTGGAGATTCGTTTTAAAATGTCAGTGTTCTTCTCCCTACTGAAAAACACACTTATAAAATGTCAAAAATGTAAATTTTATAGTATGTACACGTTACCACAATTAGAAGTAAAATTTTAAGGCAAGAGAGTGAGAACACAACCCAGAGAATGGAAGAATTTGGCAAATATACCTGATAACAAACTTGCATTAAAAACATGTGGAGATCTCTTATAACTTAGCTACAGAAAGTAAAAAAAAACTCAATTTAAAAATGGCACAGGGTTAAATACATCCTTTCCAAAGGAAGATAGATGGTCAAGAGCCCATGAAAAAAATGTTGGATGTCATTCCTCATCCACCAAATGCTAAAGTGAAATGAAGTCATCAGTCAAAACCCCAATCCGATTCCACTTCACAGCCACTAGAATAGCTAGACTCAAAAAGTGAAATCATAACAAACATTGTCAAGGACATGTAGAGAAATTCGAACCTTCATACATAGGTGGTGCAATACAAAATGGTGTAGGCACTGTGGAAAACCTTCTGGGAGTTTCCTCAAAAATTAAACCCAGAATTACCATATAATTAATCAATGCCTATCACAAGTATGTGCTCAAGAAAAATGAAAACATGTTTGAATGAAAACTTGTATATAAATTTCATAGCAACATTATTCACAGTAACCAAAAAGTGGAAACAAACCAAATGGACATTAATGGGTGGATAGTTAAATGACATGTGTTGTACCCGTCCAATGGGATATTACTCGGCCATAAAAACAAATGAAGTATTGGTACATTTACAACCTGGATGACTTTGAAAAAATTATGCTCTATCAACGAAGTCAATCACAAAGACCGTAGATATAAAATTCCTTTCCTATTAATGCCTGGATAGAGATAGAAAGTACATTCGGGGTTGCCCAGTGCTGGGGACTGGAGAAGAAGATAGGATGTTGGGAGTTATAGCTAAATGAAAAAGGGTTTTTTTTTTTCAGGTGTTGAAAATGTTAAAAAATGGACTATGATGATGATTGCACATATATGCAAATATGCTGAAAAACATTGAATTGTACACTTTGAATTGTATACTTTAACTAGGTGTAGTGAATAATATGTGGATCACATCTCAATGAAAGTTGTTCATATAAATAAATAAATAATGAGCTTTGCAATTTAGTCTCTCAGGTACATTAAACGTTCCAGGTTAAGTAACAAATCCATCACCTCACTTATTTATGGTTTTGGTGTGTGGTGAGAACGCTAAATTTACTGTTTCAGCAAATTTCAAGTATGTGATACAAGGAATGTACAAGAGGGGACCCCCCCAGAAAACACTGGAATTACCTTCTGGGGAGAAGGCCCCTTGTAGTACAGGTTTCCTGCTCTATGTGAGCATTCTGCCAGCTGGTATTGTTGTGAGAGGCTGAGTTTGGCTTCAGTAAATTTTTTTGGATGACTCTTTCAACACATTCTCCCAGCTCGTGATGGGTGATTTATAGGCACACCCACTTCCATTGTGCCGCGTGTTCAGTGTTTCAGTATTTGACTAAAAATGGCATGACCCCTGTACCCCACCCTCCCTATTCACCTGATCTCACTCCAAGTGACCTTTTTTTGTTTCCTCTGATGAAAAAAGTCCTCAAAGGGAAACGTTTGGCTGATGTGGAAGAGGTGAAACAAAAAAGGGAAGAAGCACTAAAAGGCATGAAAATTGATGAGTTCAAAAACTGTTTTTGAGCAGTGGAAAAAAAGTCTCTATAGGTGTATTGCAGCAAATGGAGAGTACCTTGAAGGTGACAGAAGTTTAAACATGTAAACATACACAATTTTTGATAAATAAATTCTGGGTTTTTTGGGTCTCCCCTTATATATCCAATCACATTGTAATCTTTAAATATAGACAATCTATTATTCCATTATACCACGATAAATCTGATGGGGAGAAAAGTTTCCAGGTGCATTCCATTTTACATAACCGCTTTTTAAAGTATACATAGAACAGGAAAGGTGAGTGGTAGCTGCAGGTATTATGTTGAAATGAGCTGGCAAAGACTCTCCAGATTGTTCTCGTGTGCAGTTGGTGAGCCAATGGTTACAACCAGCCACAGCCCTTGGAAATACGCTGTACAGTTTTTCATATATACTAATATTAATCAGTGGTCATTGGTGATAATTCAGTGCCAGGAGGAATCCCCAATTTGGGGTGCAGTGAAGAAGGAAACTTGATTCAGTGCAAATGCTCAATTGTGATACAGCAGGGCTGAGAAAACAGCATGGTGGTTCGTCAGCCCTAGGCCCATGGGCCTAAGGGCCAGGCCCCTCTCTGGCTAGATAGGTCTGGTCTGCTGCGTGTCATCTTTGGTGTTTTCACCTCCAGCAGGGAAACACAGTTTTTAGTCTTTGGTGAAAAGGGAAAGTATGTTCTCTAAACCAAAGGGGAGCTGACAGATAGAAGTCCCTGACTCCGGTCCCTGATCGACCTGTCCTCATGCAAATGAGGACTCCCAATTTTTCAAAGTTTGATTGATCCAAAAGGCACTATCCTGACTGGTCAGAATGGAGCTTCTCTGATTGGTCAGTGAAGATTCTAATGTGGATATAGCTGCACAGCTCCAATTGAATGGGAAAAAAAAAATCTCAGTTCTGTTGGTTAAAATAAGATTCCTGGAACTCCTCTACAACAGCTGACGCAGATGGCAGGAACAGAGTGCAGGCAGATAGTTCAGTGCAGGCAGATAGTTCAATGCAGGTTTCTACCTGAAGTGCAGTTTGCGTGACAATCTCCTGTGTAGAAATGTCTGGTAGTCTGTTTCTTTGTTTTTGTTTTTTGTTTTTAATTTGAGGCCAGTTAAGCGACCAGGAGCCCTTCTTGGTAGGTATCTTCTTTCTCAAGGTCCACACAAAGAAATAGGAATCAATTGTCTAAGGGATAATATAGTCATTGGCATTTCAGTGTTCCCTAGGGAGTAGACAAAAACTGGTGAAAATTAAATTCCTTTCCAGTGTAAAATGTACACCTGAGGATGTAATGAACACATCTCACACCCTGTAGTTAGATTGAGAAGAGTCCTTGCACCCCGGTTAGGAGTTCAGGGTTTCAACTTCCCACCACAGCTAACTGCTCTGGGATTCTTTTTCTTAAGGGCCAAATGATTAGGGGTGAGGGAGGGATTGGGTGAAATGTTTCAGGCTTGCAAGGAGCAAGACTAAAATGCACACCTAGACTCTACTGCACACGGTGAAGTTACATTTAAGTGTGGGAGTTTCTAAACAAGACTCACAGTTCCATGAGTGGGTTTACCAGCCTTAAGCCAAGCCCTTCACACCTAGAAAGCAAGACGTTAAGACCCTCTTATTCCAGTTTGGCCCCTCCTGGCCCACTATATTGTCTGTATTGACTCCATTTGGAAACTGAATAAGGAATTCAGCGTGTCCCCATGTGCCCCGCTGTTCACAAAGCGCTGAGAAAAAACAACACAGCTCCAGGACCAGAAAAATTTTTTTATGTAAGTATTCCAGGCTGAGTCAGTTTCCCTCCCTCCCGTTGAAAGGCGTTTCCTAGGAGCCAGAGTCCTCCTGCCGGTTGTCACTCAGGTACGAGGGGGCGGGGCCTTAAGAGTTGCTCAATCAGGAGCAGAATTGGGGCAGGTGGGTGGGGCGACGCTAGGTGAAGCCTTGGTGATCCGAACTCCATCTAGCGGCGCTGAGAATGGGATGTCGTCTGTTCTCTGATCTCTCTGCCGCAGCCTGTGTCGCACTGTAATGTGCACTGGCCGTGGGGGTCGTAGGCAGTACTCAGGGAGAACCAGGAAACCTAGAAATGGTGAGTGTATGGCCGGGTGCGGAGACGGGGAGGAGGGGCTGGTCGGAACCGGCTTCCCCTCGGTCAAGTCAGACTCTCTGGACGTAAGTCAGCGGCGCCTGTGGAACATCTATTCCCACCTGCAGGCAGCCTGGGAGGTGGGCCTTCAGCCAGGCCAAGGTGTCCTGTTCCGTCACTGCATGCGATGTCTTCAGCTGGCCTGCAGCTCTTCAGGCATCTCTGAGCCCCCAGACCCACTTCTCAGTCTTCCCAGATGGTGCCATGACCGAGGAGAGCGTCATCAGGGGACAATCTGACTCATTCTCGGGTTGGTGCATGGGAGGAGCTGGGGTCCCTTGGGTCCTCAGTCCCTTCTTTCTCCCCAGGGAGTGCCCGTTTTCTCCTGAGTTTTCCAAATGGAAAGCAGGGTCTCAAATCCAGACCCTGTCCCTCCAGCCTAACTTTTCCTGGGCCTGGCAATAAATCCCTAAACTTCTAGTTTTCTCCTGTTTCTCCCAAACATCAGCTTACCCTCTCTGATTCACGAGTCGTTATCAACTATTCGTTTATTATTTTTCTGTAGAGCCACGGATGGCTCTTTATAAAGATTTATATTTACAAATCAAGTTGCTTGTAATCCCTGTTCTTCTCCCTCAGGACCTTCTCCTGGGTACAGACATCTCATAGGAAGGCCTTTGGGTGGAGGATCCTCTTTGGAAACTTTCCTGGGTGTTTTGGCCTTGAGCACCTTTCCTCCCTGGTTTTCTCACCTGAAAAAATTGACCTACTTATGTATGTCTTTGTTTTTCAGTAAGGGTATAATATATTTAATTATAGAGCTTGAAAGACAGTAGTTCCAAACAGGCAAGAAAGACATGAATTTCAGAAAAAATAAAATATTCCAGTATTACATTTCATTTGTATAGAGTTTTTCTTTCACACTTTTCTTCCCTGAGCACGTGTAGTAAGTTTCTGAGGTCTCTCTCTCTCTCTCTCTTTTTTTTTTTTAACTTTTGGTTGTTTTCAGATCAAATTCCAGGTTTCGACTTGCAGGGCGGAAGTGTTCAAGTGTAATATGGGGGTGGGCAAAGGGTAGCTTTATACTTGTGAGTGTACAAAACCCAGGGTTTATTCTTGTAGTATTATTTATTAATTATTATATTATTTAGTTGTATTACAACTGTAAAATTACTTTTGCCTACCCCTATATTATTTACAAACCAATTACTTTCCCTGGAAATACAATTAACTGACATGTATTTATGACAAGAATAGCTATTAGAGGTTTTCTAATTGAACTAGAAGAATTTTATCTCTTTTCCCCATAGACTCTGGGTTTAAGTAAATTTGATGGATCGTTCATACACTGGGTGTTTACCATTTAGAATATCAACAGTGGTCCAAAGCAACTCTAGTGGGAAGCAGAGGCCTGTGGTCAGTGACCCAAGCTAAGGCCCCCTTGATGCTGCACCAGGAAGTACTTGAAGGCCCAGCTATTGTTCCTGGGGGGCGTCTCCCTGCCGGTGTCCTGCGGGCTGACGCCCACCTGGGACTGAGCCTGTGTAATGAGGGAAGCTACAGCCCTGCGAAGCTGGGGGTGCACATGCACATAACAAAAAGTGATGCCCTTTCTAAAGTTGAGGTTGTGGTTTTCCTAGGCGTAGACATTTTTAGACACTGGATTTAAGTTTTACATCCACAATGTAGGTGAACTCAAGAGTGTAATTTGTGCACATGAGAAGTCTGTGAAGACCAGGAATTCCGTCTTAGAGAAAAGGGGTTCATGAATTTGGAAGTACATGGTGGGTCAGAATTTAAACTGAATCGGGCTGAGAGTTCCCTCACTGTGAGGACGGAAGCCTGTGGAGGGAACAGGAACGCTTCGATGCTTTCAGGAAAGGGGAGGGTGTGGAGCTCCCGCAGTTCACTCCTGGGGCTGCTCGAGTGTCCCTCCTGTCCTTCCCCAGGGACCGACCAGTTCTAGAGATTCTCAACAGCGGGTGCCTCGACCCTCAAGCCTGGGAACATGTTCAACTTTCTGAGTGTGCGTTTCCTTCTGAACTGTAGGGAAGCAGGCTGCTTCTCTGTATTGATTCCGGTATTGCTGTTTGATCTCATTGGATTCCTTTCTCCCTTGAATATTGCAGCCCTTTGATTCTAGTTTCCTTTAGCGCTTGGGCTTTTAAAATAGAATTTGGGAGATACTGTGAATAAGGCGAGAAACTTGGGCAACCAAATAGAATTTTGGTTGCATTTAGGCAGGAGAAATTGAAGATGTGAGATGGGCGTTTTTAAGATTTCAGCAGCTTTTTCCATTTTCGGTCATTTTTTTGTGTGACCAGGTCTTTAGAGAACTTTGACTTTTAAAAGCCTATACTAGTTTTAAGTGTTAGTGCATGCAGAGCCAGGGGAAAACCCCAATACTGGAAATTACCTCCATAAATGGGAGGCAGAAAAAGATCAATGGAAGAGGCTGTCCACTTCAGTCTGGTGATTAATAAGAGTTCATACGAGGCATGTCTTCTTGATTGGCTGTAAGACAAAATGAATTCCCATGCCTCTTGGCAGGTGCCAAAGAATTTTGTAGGGTAAAAGGGGGGAGTAGTCCCTAGTACTAGTAACTGAATGTGCCCAGGTATGAAAAATTACAGGCTTGACCAGGTCAGGACAACAACCTGGCCCAAGAACCAGCACATAGCAGGAGACAAGGATGGGCTGCCGATTCAAGAACGTCAAGTATGGTCAGTGAGACAGCCTCTACAAAGAGATGGAGCAGTTGCAGAAAGCAGCTTCCTCGCTGGTTGGGTCCAGCTTGTTGGATAGATAGTAGACATGTCATGGAACAGTTTCTCCTCCACACTAAGACAAATGAATTCCTGTGTTTTAATGGGTGTGAGCAAAAAGCAACGACATATGTGTTCTCATTAACATGAACGAAACACCTCAAGCTTATGTAAGTCTTTGAAATTCATAGTCTATTTTAGGGCTTTATGGCAGCCCCGAGTGCATTATAATATGCCACTCAATCCTGAAACTATCTCCAGTGTGAAATACAGTGGATGGAAAAAATGTTATATAATGCCCCTTGGGTTTTTTTTTTTTCTTTTAAGTTAGAAAGGGATGTGTGAATTTTTTATGGTCTGGTGTTTTATATCATTCAGGATTAAATCTTAGAGTTGTTTCCTATGTAGACAAGTTAAAATTCAGTTTTAAAAAGCAAAGTTAGGTAATAATGATGATTAATCATAGGAAAATAAGGTGTATGTCAATTTCTATCCTTGTTTTAAGTAAGTAATGAATGGGAAAGTTATAAAAAGAAATTTAGGCACTAGGACGCCAGTTTAAGGCCGCTCTGCCTGCAGCTCCTGCTCCACTCCTGTGCGCTCTCTTTCTCCAGTCACCTTCAAAAAATACATTTTGATCACTTCTGTATCATCCTGTTAATGTTTCTTAAAAACAAGCCAGTGAAAATTCATATTTTTCTGGTTTGTTCTCATAAAGAGGAGTCAGAGTCCACATGTATGTTGCTTGTTTATTGACAACGTAAGCCTCAGCCCTTCCTCTCCCCTGCAACCTCCCTGGCCCTTCTTACCTGCCGGGCTGATAAGAACCTGGCTGCTCCTGCTCTGTGAGCAGCTGCCTGCTGGGAGCCCTCCCGGGAGCTGTGCTGCCGCTGTGTTGTATAGTTTACATCGCTGAGCCTGGGTTCTGTATTGAGAGGACTGTGGGTTGAGAATTTAGGTAATTCCTTGTCATTGACACAGGAAGATGGGAGTGGTGTACTTATTAAAAACAGTCCTGTGTTGGTCTTGGTTGGAACCCTCCCATGTGCTTTGCTTGAAGGTGTGACTGAGGCTAGAGTTGCCCCAACAGGAGGGCTTCTAAGGGGGATTTCCAGGATGACTGTACCCTGTGAATGAGGTGAGCTTACCAGGTGGTCACTCTTTAAAGAACAGTTATTTCAGACAAAAATAGAGAAAGAAAAGAGAAGGGGAAATGTAGCCCACAGCTGACAGGCTGAGTCTACTCTCCTAATACAAGAGAGCTCACTGAGACCCTTAACTACCTCCGCTGAGCTCTGCACCTGCTTCTGTGGCAGCACAGAGAGTGACGCCCCAGGCTATTGGGGACAACACCCAAAGTCTCACTGTGTCACAGCAAAGGCTCTAGTTCAAACTGGACTTTTAAGCCCAGAGTCCTTAGATCCTATACAGCAGCCATTTCCATGGGGGAGGCCTCTAACCCAAGTGGCACTGATTCGATGCCATTAGAAGGAAAAAATGTATGGGTACCGGGGTAAAGGGGATCCTTTACCCTGTCCCAGTCCCTCAAAGTTTATCCAGTGATCTAAATATAAAAGGGAAGGGAATGAGAGAAGGAACAGGAGAAAAAGGATATTGAAAAAGGTCTAAGATTTGACCTAATGGGAAATCCAAAATATACTAAAAGTATTTACGTTACAGAAAGTCAAAGGGCTCTCCTTGGCTTTTAAGCCTTAAAAATGTAAGTTTTGAATCAATGTTATCTTCTTCTGTAATAGTAATTCAACAAATGTTCATGCAATTACTCAGTGCTAGGTTAAATTACAGTTATACCTGGGATCTCAGTAAATTTAAGCAAGGTACCCCATGATATTAGGGAAATTCTGATTATTTTATGTAGGACAAAATGGTGTGCTTTGCCTTAACGATCAGATGTCTTTGTCTTTTCTCACAGGCAAAGCACCCATTGTCTTAAATGTCCCATAGTGAGCTGGACAGCTCTGAACCAATAATTCATCAATTTAAATTAAATTAAATCTTCACTATTTCCTAATTGGTTTCACGAATTGGGACTCCATGGTCCCTACCCCTCACTTTAATTACTTAATATGGCCCCGTGGAAATTAAACAGGGCCTTCAAGAACTGAACACTATGGTGAGAAGCCTTTTAGGAAGAAGCGATTATCCCCAGTGCTTCTTTGAACAGCTGAGTTTGGTCTGGTCTTAAACCTGGAGAGAATGAGTAACACCTCACACTGGATTACCGCAGCCTTGAGGCAGTGGTGCCACCAAATTACCCCCGATTCCCAGTCCCCAGCATTGTGGAAATTACTGCCTCCATCCACTCAGCAACTGGTACACATCCTGCTGCCCTGGATTTAGGTAAGTCTGTTCTGTTCGGTGCCTACGTCAACAGTCTCATCTGCAGCTGGCCTTCACCTCCCAGGGACATGCTGCACCTTTACCAGGTTCCCGTCAGGGAACCTCAGCGCCACTGCCACTGCACACAGCCTCTGCGGGCAGGACCTGAACTGCGTTTACCTTGCTCCAGGAGATACGACATTACATTCATGACAGTCTCTTTTGTGCACATCTGTTGGACATTTAGGACATACACGTATTGGAAAAGGTAGGCTCATAGAAAGTGGATGTCCTGTGTCCTCACACATATTTTGCAGCCCCGAGCCCTTGGTTACATTTTTAAAAACTATTTAATAAGCAGAAGGTCACTCCCTTTTTCAGAACATGAAGAAATAACTATAGTTCCTCTTAGCATCCCCAGCATATTGTCTCAATTATTTTGGTGTTGGGAAGACAACATAGTCCTACGTTACCAATTTTCCCTGAGCCCATTTGTGCTGTTATTGGTGCACTGCACACCTTGTGTGGGCGCCTTCACCACAGCAGGCTCCAGGCTGATTATATTGCCATGCAAGAGGCACACCTGGCCGTGTCCTTAGAGGCTCCTCAACTGTAGAGGTGTAGTATAGAGTTTCCCATGACAGCCTTAGGGTGCAATTTTTTTCTCCCTCTTTTCTTAGTTGTGTTTACTAAATGCTTATCAATTTTACTAATCTTACCAAAGAACAGCTTTTTTATCTTTCTCCATTGATTTCCCACAATTCCATTGATTTCTAATTTTCTTTATTATGCTTTGAGTTTCATTAGCTCTTCTTTTCCTAAACTAAATGCTTACATTATTTGATTATAGATCTTTCTTTTTCTAGTGTATTTTTTCAATGGCATAAATTTTCCTCCAGGCATTGCTTTTGTTGCATCTCACAATCTTTGAGAAGTAATTTTATTTTATTTAGTTCAAATTATTTTTTATTTCTCTTGAGACTTGTCCTTTGATCCCATGTGTTATTTAGAAGAGTGTTCTTGAATATTCACATATTTGGATGTTTTCCAACTCTCTTGCTGTTACTGATTTCTAGACTAATGCCCATAGTGTGAGAGCATATTTAATAGGACATAGATTTTAAATCATAGATTTTATCACCAATTACAATTTTAAAACTGAATTTTGTTGTTACATCGCGCTGTTCAATTTAACTCTGTCCTTTGTGATTTTTTTGCTGCTGGAATTTGTTGTAAGGGAATGTTGATATTTGCAGCTATAGTAGTGGATTAATCTATTTCTCCTTGCATTCCATCATCTTGCCTCATGTATTTTACCCCTGTTGTTATGCACCTACACCCAAAGGATTACTGTGCCTTCTTGGAGATGGACTCCTTTGTCATTAAGTAATGTCCTTTTATTTCTGAGGGTTGTTTTTTTTTTTTTTTTGGTCTGAAATTTACACTGTTTGAAATTTATATACCCATGCCAACTTTCCTTTGATTACTGTTGGCATATACATTTTCTCCATGCCTTTACCTTTTACCTGTCTGTGTCTTCATATTTAAAGTGGGTTTCTTGTGGACAGCATATAATTAAGTGTGATTTTTAAAATTTGATATTATAGTACCATATTAGTCTCTCAGTTGTAGTGAGACCATTGATGATTAAAGTGGTGATTGATACAGTTGGATTAATATCTACCACAATTTGTCCTGTGTTCTGTTTATTGCCCATATTCTGTGTTTCTTTTTGTCCTTTACTTTTATTCTTCCTTCTCTGACTTTGAGCATTTTCCTGATTCTTTTTCCCTGTCTTTTCATATCAATTACAAATAACTTTAAAACTTTTTCTAGTGATTGCCCTTGAGTTTTTGGTTACAGCTAAGTCACTGCCTCTGTCAAGTTACACTGTACCATGTCACTGGTCATACGAGTACCTGAAAACACACTGTTCCCAATTCCTTCTTCTGTGTCCCCGTCCTATTGTCATTTAGTTTAATTACTCAGCTTATAACTGACAAACACATTATTATTAATATTATTTTTTTAAACTTTCATCCACTATAAGAAATCTAAAAAGATTTTACTTTCATTTACAAATTCTAATTCTTCACCTTCATTACTTATTTATTCTGATGGATATTTGAATTTATTTTCCAAGTAGGTGTATGAATGTCAAATTACTTCAGAGTTTGTCTCAGAAAATATTTATTTCTCCTTTATTTTTGAAGAATAATTTTGCTTGACACAGACTTTTAATTTAAGAGAGTATGTTTTTTTCTTTCACAACTTTAAATATTCTACTCCAATTCTTGATGATTGATTGCTGACATCTCTAGCGCCTCATTCCTGCTCCTTCTCCTTGTGCCCCATGTCTGTATGAGGTGATGAGAAAGCCTGTGCGCCCTCCGTGTGGCCGCGAGTGACTGAATCCTCGCACGCTGCTGTGCACATGCGCAACCCTCACCCTAGCTCACCCTGTAACCTCGTAAAAGAACGTGTCCCTGCGCCTCTCTTCTCTCCCAGGCTATTCAATGCCCTCTTGCGAGGCCTGCCGTACTCTGTCCAGACACCTCACTTGGGACATTGATAAACTCGCTCCTACCCTGCAGGTTGGGTGGGCCGCCATCCGCGGAGGGATCCCATGCTCGGGGTTGAGTCATCTATGCTGTTCCTTGACTCCGCCGGGAGCTTGGAATGGAAATCGTAGAAGGGAGGGCGGCCCCCGGAGTGGCTCGTCAGGAAACGCTTCCTGCTGACCGGGGAGTGGACGTTATATGCTCTTTTGGAGGAAACCACTGCTGCAACCTTTGCCTATTTTATAATCATGAGCAAGTTTATTATCACACCATTGTGGATGTCTGGATGTTAATAAACTCCCTTGTAATCTAAAGCTCCTAACCCATCCTGAGTGTCAGCAGGACCCAGGACAGACTGTTCGGGCTGTGCTGAAGAGAGCTCTTCTGCCATATTATTTTCTCAGTGTGTGCCCGTGTGTGCCGAGAACCAGCCCTGAGGCACGTGAGTGTAGGGATTGGTGATGTAAGTTGTTGTGCCTTCTTCCTTTTCTCTGAGCTCTAAGTTCCAAATAAATTTTTAACCTGTTAGATAAGAGAAAGACTGAATCTGTGATAAGCATTACATCAGGTAAGAGCAGTGTTTCTCTACAAAGATGTTTCCATTCAGCCAGCTATAAGCAGCTACTTCCGATTTTTCTGAAAAAATGTAGAACAAGGTGGCCAGCTGGACTTTGTTAAAAGTTGGATTTTCACAGTCTCCTGGACTCCCATGTGTGGTGACAGGAATAGAACAAAAAGCTTGTATTTCTTTAGTATGTTTTTATGTATTGAAACCTTATTGCAGATGTTAACATCTGCTTTATGAGGTGCTGTAAATGGTGGCTGTGAGGAAGGAGATGAAGGTATTTTTCTCCAAAGGAATTGATGGTCTTAGAGTGACGATACCTGTTTCACATGAATCACATTTCTGTCACTCCCAGCGTGCCCTGAACCCTGCCACTAGAATAATGCAAGATGTAATGTGATCACAGTAAAGGTGTGTTATTTCCATGTGTTCATAATGCTGTCAAACTTTTGAGGAAGTAATTGTGGACAGAGAGTAACTTTCTGATGATCACGTTGTAAGAATAAATGTTTGAAGATAAGAGAATCATACGTAACCTTCTGTGTGGCATGTGAGAACATGGGCCCCTTCCCAAGCTCCAGCTCCGCCTCCTACCCTGTGGGACTATAATGAAGGCCTTTTGTAAGTGCAAGTGGGACCTTGGAAGCCTGGCCAGCTCCTTGGTCAAGGAATGACCAAAAAACAAACAAAAAACCTCTTCCTGGTTGTGAGCCTGCATTGTCAACAGCTGGCGTTTTGATCTCATGCAGCTTGCACATGAGCACGTCCACTCTGCACACATGATTTATTGCCCTGTCTGCTCTGTTTTCTGTCCTCTTTATAACCCTGGACTGAGCAAGCCTGTGTTGCAGAGACTTCACTGGCAGGCCGCCCCTGGTGCGCACATGAGTCCTAAATAAACTCATGTTGTTCTCAGCCAGTCTTTTGGGTTATTTCTTTGGAATGGGCAAGCAATACGCTGTGGCCTTCTCAGACCTTGGCTCTACGCTTAACACTTTCCTATAAAAGGGGTCCATGTGTCCAGTGCTGTCAGCCTCACACATCACGTATTTGGGGTGTTTTAGGACTCAGTGGCCTTTGAGGATGTAGCTGTGAGTTTCAGCCTGGAGGAGTGGGCTTTACTGGATCCTTCACAGAAGAAACTCTACAGAGATGTGATGCAGGAAACCTTCAGGCACCTGGCCTCCATAGGTAAGCATGATGACTATTCTTTACCTTGTCAAGTAGAGGACAGGGGTTTCTTACCCATCAGAACTGTTCTCATTTGTGGGAGGTGGGAAGGGAGGATGCTGGTGAGTAAACTGGGCATGGTCACAGCTCATTGTAGAATTAGAATGCTTTTGAATCCTAATTTGGATCTTTATTTTAGGGTAAACATAGGAAGATCATGACATTGAAGATCAGTCCAAAAACCAGAGAGGAAAACGAAGGTGAGTCACAGTCACAATAGGAAGCAGCGTCTAACATGACAATCTCAGTATTCTATAAAATTTTTAAAAGAAGCAAACAAAACAGCCTCTGCTTCAAATTTATTACTTCTCAGAATATTTCTACCAGATTACTTTCTTGTATATAAGATAGATGTTCGGTTTTTGAAAAAATAGTTCAAATGGACAACCCCATTAAAAAACCCTATGTGAATATCACTGTTTTATATTAGCAAGTATGAAGTTTTCTTGCAGAGTTTTCAGCCTATGTGTGCAATTTATTTATTATCCTTAACTGAGGATATGTTTTTTTGTCATTTATTTTTTGGAGAGAGAGGAAGAGAGAGAGAGAGAGAGAGAGAGAGAGACATTGATCAGTTGTCTCTGGTACATGCCCTTATTGGGCATCAAACCGGCAACATAGGTATGTAACCTGACCAGGAATCAAACCTGTGATCTTTTGGTGTACGGGATGATACTCCAACCAACTGAGCCAGGGCATGTATTCAATTTTAAATAATTCATTCAGACAAAGGGAAAACCTACAGTCTTGTTATAAAAACTTTGGTATAAAAATATAGGTTAAGTATTCTAATAAATATAAAATTACTGGTAAAGAAATAATTAATAAAATACTTCCTTTTTTTTTTTTTAATAGAAGTCATGTGGCAGAGAGAATCTGTGAAGGGAAAGAAGGTAGTCAACATGGAGAAAATTTCAGCCTTTTTCCAAATTTCAGTCTGAAGAAGAAAACTCTTCCTGGAGTAAAACCATGGGAATACAGTGTGTGGAGGGAAGTCTTCATGCATCGTTCATCCCATAATAAGCACATCAGAGATCATACCGGACACAAGTCCTCTCAGTATAAGAATTGCAGAGAGAAGCCATATAAATGTAATGTATGTGAGAGAGTCTTCAGTTACCTCCAGTGTTTTGAAAAGCATGAAAGAAATCACAGCAGGGAGAAACCCTGTGAATGTGAGGCATGTGGGAAAATCTTTAGTTCTTCAACTTCACCTTAGATACATGAAAGAACCCACATTGGAGAGAAACTTTATCAATGTAAACAGTGTGTTAAAGCCTACATGTATTACAGTGCCTTACAAAAACACCAAAGAATTCACACAGGCGAGAAACCCTATGAATGTAAGCAATGTGGTAAAGCTTTCAGTTCTCATCTAGGTTTTCAAATACATGAAAGGAGTCACACTGGAGAGAAACCCTATGAATGTAAAAAATATAGTAAAGCATTCAGTTGTCTCAGTTACCTTCGAAGTCATGAGAAAATTCACACTGTAGAGAAACCCTATGAATGTAAGAAATGTGGAAAAGTCTTCAAGATATTATCATAATTACCAACACATGAAAGAAAATTTACTGGAGAGAAGCCCTATGAATGTAAGGAATGTGGAAAAGCCTTCAGATGTTATCAAAGCTCTCAAAAACATGAAAGAATTCATACTGGGGAGAAACCCTTTGGATGTGTGGAATATGGGCAGTCCTATAGATACTACAGCATATTACGAAGACACAGAAGGACTCACACTGGAGAGAAACCCTATAAATGTAAACAATGTGGTCAAACCTACAGAGGTCATAGTGCCTTACACGCACATGAAAGCTCTCACACAGGTGAGAAACCCTATGAATGTAAGCAATGTGGAAAAGATTTTATTTCTCATCTAGGCTTCCAAATACATGAAAGAAGTCACACTGAAGAGAAACCTTATGAGTGGAAAATATGTAGTAAAGACTTCAGTTGTGTCAGTTACCTTCGACATCATGAAAAAATTCACGATGGACAGAAACACCATGAATGTAAGGAGTGTGGGCTAGCCTACAGACATTATACTACTTTGCAAAGACATGAAAGAACTCATACTGGAGAGAAGCCTTATGAATGTAAGAAATGTGGACTAGCCTACAGATATTTCAGCACCTTAAAAAATCATGAAAGAATTCATACTGGAGAGAAACCTTATGAATGTAAAGAATGTGGGAGGGCCTTCAGATGGTATCAGAGTTTTCAAACACATGAAAAAAAATCACACTGGAAAGAAACGCTATGAATGTAAAATTTGTAGCAAACGATTTAGTTGTCTCCGCTATCTTCGAAGGCATGAAAGAAATCACACTGCAAAGAAATGCTATGAATGTAAAAACTGTAATAAAGCATTTAGGTATCCTAGTGATCTTCAAAATCATGAGAGAAATCACACCGGAGAGAAACCCTTTGAATGCAAACAATGTGATAAAGCCTACAGAGATCACAGTTCTTAACAAACCCACAAAAGGACTCAGACTGGAGAGAAACCCTGTGAATGCAAACAATGTGGGAAAGACTTCATTTATCACACAACCTTTCGAAGACACATATCAATACATACTAAAGAAAAACCATAGAAAAGTGTAGAATTTGGGAAAGGCTTCATTTATTGCAGTTCCTATCAGAATAAGAAAGGACTCACTAAATTAATGTTCTTGAATGTAAGCAGCTTGGAAAAGTCTTGAATTGGTCCACATTGTTGCATGTGAAAACTCTAACAAAAAAAAGAAGGAATAAAAAGGTAAGTTTTGTGAGAAAGCTTATTAAAAATTCAGGTATGATGTCTTAGAAAACTTTCAACATGAAATAGTTATTAATGTTTTTGTTTGGTTTGCAGGCTGGCACTCAATCCACCAAGCTACACCAGCCACAATTTAATGTTTGAAATATATTGCATTTGTTGAACCTCTTCTAATAGTGCATCATTGGACTGTGGATTTTTTTCTAATTACTTTCAGAAATAAATACATGAGATATTTCAGGGAGACATCTTACAAAATTAATACATTAACAGGTAGTGCTTTTTCCTTAAAATTTCTAACAATATTTCCCTGGGTTTTGAAACCCGTTAGACCCATGAATGAATTGAAGTTTTTTAAAAAATATATGTAGTTAGGTTAAATTTTTAAATAATATTTTATTCTGTTTCAGGAGCCTTTGAAAAATGATAGTTTGGTATTAGGGTTTTCCTAGTGTCCTGCGGCAGCCCTTTACATCCCCAGTCCACTACATACATTCTACCTTTCCCTCTGACTAAGCTCCTTTTGGGTTGTGATATATATTAGGACCTTCTTTCTATTTTCCATACTAGTGAACAGTTGTAATAAATTTTATGTATGGCAAGTTTAGAAAAGAATATTGATTCACGTAAATTTTTATTTTCATATTTGGATCTTTGCTCTTTCTTCTAACTGATGTTTGGTGAATAGACTTTGAATTAAAAAGAGGGACCCGTGATAGGACAACAAAATTTAGAGCTGGAGATTCTCTCTCTGATTGGTAATGGTAGGACCTTGATATTCCAGAATCCATCTCCTTTATGGTCCATGTTAGAATTCCTTAGTAGCCTCACTTGCAAGAGATTTGGAAGGCAAATACAAAGAAGGCATCAGACTGGTTTTGGAGCCACCATTCAGACTAACAGACAAATACATTGGATCTTTGAAAACATCTCCCAGCCCATCATAATTGAATGCTTTGGCCATCCAAACAAGACTACCCTCAATGCCACCACCAGCTGCCCTATATCCCTATATCCATTTTCTGAGAGGTGTAGCTTTCTACTGATGTCGTCACAAGAGCCACACCAAAGATCCATCAGAGTTTGGATTTTTCTGTAAACCCTTTTGTGTCTACCAGGAAACTGGTTCACACTTCTTGCTTATGTTTGATTCCCCTCTTTTTTAGATTTTACCAGTATAAAGTCTAAATTCTGTAGAAATACAGTGTTGTCACTAGGTATGTTTCCTGATTGCCCATGACATCTGCAATGGTGCCGTCAGAAAGGACATGGGATAGTGTTTCTCTGCTGCGTGTGCAGTGGCTGCCTTCACCTGGCCCTTCCATGTAAGAATCAGCACCTTCCCTCTGTCGGGAAGCTGTGGGAGTTTCCTATTACTTATGTTTTCAGTTATTCTTAATTCAGTACATTCTTAAATTATGTGTATTTTTTTGTCATATGAACGCTTTTGTAACTTTTATAAGATATTTCATTAACTGTTTTTTAGGCTGTAGTATACTAACAAATACTGTGTTTTTCAAATGTTAAAATGTCCCATTATAATTATGAATTTTGAAATAAACTTTGCAAATCTCTTGATTTAATCAGTATACACTATGTCTGTTTTATCATGTGCATTCAAATTCAGGTAAATTTTTCAGGCATATTTTGTGTTTTATTCTTTTATAGTTACAATTTTTGTCATGACACTAATTGATATAAAAACTATAACTCATGGTTTTTTTAGTGTCCTCTTACTAGTGACCTGTAGGATTGTACATGTCATCAAAGACAAGAGTATAATGAATTGTAATAAGAATGACCACAAAGTATATACGATGGTGGGATGTAACATAAAAGATTGCTTAGAACTTTTACAGGATTTTTGCCTATTTTAGATAATTAGATGGTTATTAAAGGCACAAATATGTTTTTGTATACTGAATGCTATATGGAAGTAAACTTATGTTACTGTAATCATAAGCCTTGTTTACTGCAATGTGTTGGAGCTAAAGTTAATTTGTAACAAGCCCAGTGAGTCATAATAAGAGGAGAATGATATTGGTCATTTTTATGATTTAGACTAGAAATAGAACAAACTAAATCTTAAATTATAAAAATTTAGGAAATAAAGATTAGAGCAGAAAATAAATAGAATATAGAAAAATAGAATATTATTAAAACAACAGAACAGAATAGAATAATATTAAAACAGCAGGGTTTTTCCATGGGATTTCCATTTCAACAAGTGGAGTTTTTCAGTGCATGTAGAGTTACAGTTTTGAAAGACGAAAAAGTTCTGGATATTGGTTTCACAATATCAGTGTACTTCATATGCTGAACTGTACACTTAACAATGTTGAAAATGTAAATTTTATCCCATGGGCATATTTTTACAATTGAAATTAAACTTTTAAAACAACGAAGTGAAAACCCAACCCACAGAATGGAGGACAATTTGCAAAATTCATATATCTGATAAGAAACTTGTATAGAGAATACAGGTTTCCAGGAAAGAGAGAAGTGGAATTCTAATGCAAATGGAGGGATAACACCGGAACTAAGAAGCCAGTTTGGGAAGCTGCAGATTTCCCTTCCAGCTCCCGCTCACAGGAGAAACAGCCCTCCTGCACCCCCAGTAGAAATATCCCCCAGCCCCGCCCCCTTCCCCCACATTGAAAACTCAAGGTAAGGTGGATGTTAGGGTTTTAATCTGACACCTAAATTGCTAGCCTCTGATATTAAGAGAAGTGCAATTATAATAATCCAATCCCTGTCTCGGCTTCTTGGCTAAGCGGTGACAGGCAGCCCGGCCTCGGTTGCCCTCCAGTTTCAAAAATGAGCAAATGGCGGGGGTGTGTGGTTGGGATTAGTTTTTGGTCTGCTATATTGTTTTACTTTCATCTTGTGTCTGTCTGGCTTTTAATGGTTTTCTTTTCTTTTTTTTTATTATTTGTAACCCTCACTTCATCTGTCCATGGGTTTAGCTGGCACAAACGATATTAATTGGGTCTCTGTTCTCTATTTCCCCAACCGGGGAGGCTTAAGCTTCATATTCTTTGGTTAGGGAGGAGAGGTAGAAACCATTTGCACTCAGGTGTTCTTGGTTAGGGGAAATAGGTCTTGTGATTCACTACCTGGCTGCAAGTTGCTTTGTTTGGCCTTGTTCATTTTACTTCAGTTTCCCCATTCCACTTGCCCAGGAATTTTCCTTGCTTTTTACTATCCTGTTACAAAAACACAATCACTGAATCAGAGTAGAGACCACAAACCCTCTCTTTGCTTTTATTATTATCATGTTAATTGTTAACTGTTGACTATCCTGTACCTACCTATGTAAAGAAGTTTGTCTCTTTTACTTTTTATCCAGTCCTAGGGACTTCCTTGCTTTGTTTTCTCCTGCCTCCCTAATCTACCACCAGTGGGTTTTATATAACCCTCTAACATCTTCCCCTTTGATTCTGATCTATAAAATAAGTAATAAGACTGTAATTTTCTGAGGCATTTTGCTCAATCCCTGGAAATTTTGCTTCCCAGCAATTGTTATCAGTTTGGCTCAAATAAACTCATATAATTCTTACAGGTTTGGATGTTTCTTACGTTGACAATTTAAGGACCAAAGGAGTGGGGTTGGGGAAAGGATGGGTACAAAGCTCAGTGCTTGCAAGTGTCAAAGACGAGAATGGAGCCAGGCTTTATTTAAAAACGGTGCGTCACTTTTCAGTGTTTGCATTTCTAAACAAAGGTCACAGTTCCGTGAGTTGCTTCACAGCTTCACTCCAAGCCCTTGCCAGGACCTAAGGCACTTGCTCCATTAAGACCTGGCCTAACCCTCTTGTCTGTTTCTGTACCGTCTGCAACGAAGTGCCCCAGCGTTCACATACAGCTGGGTGAAAACAACTTGGACATACCCAAGCCCCTAAAAAGTTGTTTCAAGGCAAGTGCGCCAAGTGGGGTCAGGTTCCCGCCCACCAACCGAAAGTGTGTCCCAAAAACCTGTGTTCTCCCCCCGCTGTCACTCAGGAACGAGGGGGCGCGGCCTTGTGAGCTGTCCAATCAGGGATTTCGCTGGGGGCAGGTGGGTGGGGCGACGCATCCAGAGGTCGCGGACTGCTCAACTCACCTAAGAGGTTTCAACGGCTCTGGGTAGTTCGGTTGCCGAGGTTTTTGGTGACTTGGCAGCCTGTGTCTTCTGTCATCTGCCCTGGGCCTGAGTTCTCCCCAGGATTGAGGGAGACCCAGGAAACCTAGAAATGGTGAGTGTGCGGGCCGGGGTTCGGAGACGGGAGGAGGGGCTGGTTGGAATTGGCGGTTTCGGACCGGGCTTACCCGCTACACCTCGGGAGCCTGCTGATTGCAGTCCCCGGGGGGCGACGCTCGGACCTCATTCCTTTCTGGCTTGCAGCGTCGGGGCTGGGGCAGCTGCCGGTACCCCTGGCGTCTTTGTCCCGTCACTGCCTGCGGCGACTTTGGCTCACGAGACTATCTGGGCAGCTGTGCGTCCGCAGCACCGTTTCTCCCCAGATGGTGCGGTGACCATCGTGGGGTGGGGGGCGCCATCTAGGATCAGTCGTGACTGGGACAGCAGGGTTTGTGCGTGGAAACAGCTGTGGTCTGTGGGGTTCCCAGTCCTTCCGTTTCCCCCTGGGGGACCAGTTTTCTCCTGAGTTTTCCAAGCGTTTGGGAAGCAAGGTCTCAATTCCACAGCTCTCTGTCCCTAGCCTACCTCTTGTGGCTGGCAACCACGCTCCTCGAATTCCGAAGCCAACTTTCCCTCTAGGAGTCAGAGCACCGTTATCAACAATTTGTCCCCCGTAGTACGTTTCAAAGAGACCCGATATTTTATTTGTTTAATTTTTTTCCCACAGAGTTATGGTTAGCTTCATTTTTAGAGAGTTACACATTTTTGTGGCTATTTTAAATGAGTGGAAAGGCAAGAAGAACCACCTGGAACTTCCCTCTGTGAAATCCTGGTTCTCTCCCCCAAGGATCTGTCCTGGGCACAGACCTCCTAGGGGAATTCTTTGGGTGAAGATTCCTGTTTGGAGATTTTCCTGGGTGATCTCTCCTGTCAGCAAGGACCCTGTCTGGATTTCTCAACTTGAAAAGATTTAATGACTTAAATGTTTGTTTTTTGATAGGGGTATATTTTGGAGCTTTAGAGACTATAAAATAGTTCCAAACACACAAAAAATAGGTAAATTTAAAAAAATTTTGATTACATTTTATTTTTGTATCTTACACTCTTCTTTTGAGCATGTGTAGTAAATGTACGAGGTCTGGTTTTTGCATTTTGGGGGTTTTCAAATCAAATTGCAGAGTTTAGACTTGCAGAGCAGATGTGTTCAAGTGTGATTAACTGTTTCCAAACCAGTTTCTTTTTCTAGAAATATAATTGACTGATATCTTTTACTGAAAGGAATAGATATTTGGGGTTTTCTAGTTGAACTAGGAAAAGACCCTTAAAATTTTCTTATTTCCTTTCCATTTAAATACTGTATTTAAGTGATTTTGCTGGATTGTTCAAATTCTGGGATTGTGTCATTTAAAATATTAATAGTGGTCCTGAGCAACTCCATTGGAGAGCAGAAACCTATGTTCAGTGACCCAAGCTAAGACTCCTCTGAGCCTGCAAAGGGAAGTACTTGAAGGCCCAGTTGGTGTTCCTGGGGAGCTTCCTCTTACGGGTGCCTTACCTGCTTGCCTCCACCAAGTAGGAACCGTTACACTGAGAGAAGCGGCAGTCCTGGAAAGCTGGGGATGCAAGTATACGTGGGATTTGGAGAGGGGATATGCTTTCTGAGGTTGTGGTTGTGGTTTCTAAGGCCTGAACATTTTTAGATCGTATGTATGAACTTTTCCATCACCAATGCAGTTGACCTCAAAGTCTAATTTATGCATATTGAGAAAGTCTATGTAGATCAGGGGTTCCAAGTTTTTGACAGAGGGTTTATGAATGGGGGGTAGGGGGTTCATTGGGTCGGAACTTTAACTTAATCTGGCTGAGAGTTTCCTCACTATGAAAATGGAAGTCAGGGGTAGAAAGCACTTCTATGCTTACAGGAAAGGGGAGGGTGTGTGGAGCTCCCAGAGTTCAATTCTGTGTCTGCTCGGGTGTCTCTTCCATTGTTCCCCACTCCGAGGTTTCTCTCTCAGGTAGGGGAATCTATTACCCCATGTTTGTAATTATGTTCACCTTTTTTAATGTAGGTTTCTTTGTGAACAATCTTGATTGCAATATTTATTTATTTATTTATTTTGTATTTTTTTGACTGATCTGATTTCCACAGTAGTTATTTTTCTTTTTGTTGGATTTCTTTCTCCAGGGAGTATTGTAACCCTTTGATGCTAGTTTCCTTGGGCTTTAAATGTTTAAGTTGATTGAGAGATACCGTGTGAGTAACGCAAGATAAATGGGGAACTGATAGCGGTATCCCCAACCCCTGGACCGGTACTGGTCTGTGGCCTATTAGGTACCTGGCTGCACAGCAGGAGGTGAGCAGCGGGCAGGAGAGTGAAGCTTCATCTGTATTTACAGCTGCTCCCCGTCACGCGCCTTACCACCTGAGCTCCGCTTCCTGTCAGATCAGTGACAGCAATAGGAGCGTGAACCCTACTGTGAACTGCTCATGCAAGGGATCTAGGCTACGTGCGCCTTGTGAGCATCTAATGCCTGATGATCTGAGGTAGAGCTGAGGCGGTGATGCTGGCACTGGGGAACGGCTGCAAATACAGATTATCATGAGCAGAGAGGTTTGACTGCACAGAGACCATAATATGTCAGTTGCTTGCAGACTCATATCAAAACCCTATCATTGAGTGACAAGTGACAATTAAGCTGCATCTGGTGGTAGGCTTTATAGTGGCAAGTGAGTTGATGTACTTCAATTGTACAGCTGCATCTGGTGGCAGGCTTTTAAGTCAGAGTCCAACACTTTGGGTGTCACTGTCTCCTGTCACCCCCAAATGGGACCGTCTGGTTGCAGGAAGACAAGCTCAGGGTTCCCACTCATTCTGCATTATGATGAGTTGTATAATTATTTCTATATATATTACAATGTAATGATAATAGAAATAAAGTGCACAAGAAATGTAATGTGCTTGAATCATCCCAAAACCATCTCCTCCTTTCCCTGGTCTGTGGAAAAATTGTATTCCATGAAACTGGTCCCTGGTGCCAAAAAAGTTGGGGACTGCTGCCATAGGTAGTTAACTAGATATTACTAAAGAGAGCAAAGAGAACTGGACATAGAGTTTGATAAACTGGGGAGGATGAGCCTCTTGGCTTCACCAGGAATCTACAGCTTCACAACCCAGAGGATTACAGCATTCCTCCACCAAGGGGATTGATACTTCCTCCTTCCCCACTCCAGTACCAGATTGTTGGTGGGTGCAGGGGAAGGTGCTGGACTAATAATAGAGGTCTGTCAGTCTAGCTAGGGGGTGGGCCCATCAAAAAGCCGACAAAAACTTGGGAAGTTGATTGGTTCTTTTGAAAAAGCATCTGATCCATCCCAAACCCAAGCTAATATAATGCCAAGGGAACAGAGAAGCACACTCTTTATTGCTCATGACCCACAGTTGCCCTGTTGACTTGTGTGTCCTCTCTGCATACCCATGTGGACTTAGCTACTGTGTGGCTGATGGACTCCATGCACAGGCTTCAGGCTGGAGCCTGAATACCTCAGCACAGCAATAGTTTGTAGCCAGGAATACAAGCTAAACTAGCCAGATGCTGGACTGAACTGAGCTTTTTATGGCGCAGGATCTCTGGACAGTGACTCTGTTTCTGGCCCTGATTTTATATGATGGGACAGACAGAGAGGGGACCCAGAGGCAGCCTTCCACACTCATAAACCATCTTGCCACACCCATGTATGGGTCCTCGAAATGCTTTCCTCGCGATCCCGTAAAAGAGCCTGATTTCCATCAACAGATGAACCAAATAGAATTTTGGTTCCATTCAGGCCAGAGAGCCTGAAGATGTCAGATGAATGTTTTAAAGTTCTCAGGTGCTTTTTCCAATTTTCGGTTAGTTTTGTATGTGCCCGTCCCTAAAGAACTTTGACATGTAAAAAGGCTATACTATTTCTAAGGTAAATGTACTGCTGTTTCAATGGGTGTGAGGGAGGAAAACCAATTGAATTTCAATTTTCATAGATTTGAGAAAACACAGCAAGGCTTATGTAAGCTTATGTAAATATTTGAAATTGCTGGTACGTTTCAGAGCTTAATTGCAAACCTCTCATGTATTATATCTGACTTATTTCTTTTATATATCCTTATTGTAAAATATAGTATAGAGAAAATTGTCATAATGTTTTTTGCTCTTTTAGTTAGAAAGGGATTTATAAATTTTTATGGTGTGCATTTTTCTATTATTTATTTAAATCTTGGCATGGTTTCTTATATTGAAAAGATTAAGTTAAATTTAAAAAGGAATACTTTATTAATAATAATGATTATTCATAGGTAGATGTGGTATGTATAAGTTTTTGTATTTTAAATAAATAATGCATGGGAATGTGAACAGTTCCTAAGCAAATGTCAGCAGATGGTCATGGATGCCAATTTGATGTCAATAGGAATCCCCAGTTTGGGGTGCAGTGGAGAAGAAGACTTGATTCAGTGCAAATCATCTTAATCGTTACACAGCACAGATATGAAAACGGCAGGCTAAGAAAACAGCACAGCCATAGTATAGCCCTGGGGCCAGGCAGCCTCTGAGTGAGACCCTTCTCTGGCTGCACAGCTCTGTTGTGCTCCTTGATGGTTGGCTCTGCACTGTTTCTTGCCAGTCTACTTTAGGCTGTGTTGGTCTGCTCCGTTCTGACTAGGTGTCTTCAGTGTTTCAGCTTAGTCTGGAGGATGCAGTCTTCAGTCTTTGGTGGAAAGGGAAAGTGTGTTCCTGGAGCCAGACGGGAGCAGAGGGGAGATGGCTTATTTGGTTAGGAGTCCCTGCCATTGATCCATCCTCATGTGAATAAGGACTCCAAATCCTCACAGTTTGAGTGGCCCAAAGGCACTGTTCCGATTGGTCAGAAAAGAGCTGCTTTGGTTTGTTGGGGCTGTGCAGCTCTGAATGGATGGGGAAAGCCTCAGTCCTGTTGTTCAAAAGGGAATACCAGGAATTCCTTTATAAGAGCTGGCTAGATGGCAGAAATACAGTGTAGACAGGCAGTTCAGTGCAGGCTTTTTCCTGAAGTGCATTTTGCATGCGAGGTCCCTGTGTGGAAATGGCAGCCAGGGTGTTTTTAAAATTTTGAGCCCAGTTAGCCACCAGGAGCCCTTCTTAGTAGGTGTCTTCTTTCTCAGGGTTCACACTAGAGAACTAATTGAAGAGGAGACTCTGTCCGCATATCCTGCTCCAGTCTGTGTTCTAACTCCTTCCACTCTCAGATGACCAGTTTCGATTAATGCTTACTCATCCTGTTAGTGTGTGTTTATATAAAAACAAGCCAGCGCAAACATCTACTTTCCATAATTGTGTTTGTTATTGTCATGAGTGGTCAGGCTCCACATGTTTGATGTTTGACTCCTGAGCCCTCCCTTTCCTGATCGTCCTAATCTAGACAGGCAGCTAGGAAAGCCACGGGGTTCCTGCACTGTGAGCTACTCCTTACTGGGTGCTGCGGTGTGCTGTATTATTGACTCTACCAACCCTGGGTTCTATATACAGACGACACTGGGTTGACAGTTTAGGTAATTCCTCATCCTTTATGAACAGGAGTATGAAAATGAGACTGTCTTTACAGTAGTCCTGGGTCAGTATCTTGGCTGTGAAGGTGTGACTGAGGCCGGGTTTGCCTGGACATTAGGGGGAGCCTTAACGGGCATGAGGATGGTTGCACCCTGTGAATGAGATGAGCGCATCAGATGGCTTCTCCAGAGAGCAGTTATTTCAGTGAGAAAGAAGAGACAGGGAAGGTAGCCAGTAGGTGGGACAATGCCAGGGGCCTCACCAGGAACCCTAAGTAACTCTGCTGCTCCTGCCCCTACATCTTGCAGCAAAGATGCTGACCATGTGCATTAGAGTAGACAATACCATTGTTTCAGTTTTGCACAGAAAAAGGATTAGTTCAAACTCTTCTTAAGCCCAGAGTACTTAAACTCTACATAACAACCTTGTGTCATAGTGTAGCCGAACACAAGTCCATCTGCCTGCTACTTCAAAAACTAATACTTGAGAGTCAGGTGCTGATAAAAAGGAATGTGGTGTATTCAGGTGTCGGCAGCCTGGGAGATGGGAATTTTTGTCTCAAAGCCCATCTTAGCATCTCAGTGCAGACAAATTTTTATAAGGCGGGTGAGGGACAAGGAGAACAAAGAGATCAGGGGAGAGGCTGTTGATAGATATGTATCTATCAACATGAAAGAACAGAACAGAACTCCAAAAAAAGATCTAAATGAAATGGAAACAATCCACTGAGTTCAAACATTGGTTATAAGGATGCTCAAGGATCTCAGTGAGAACATCAACAATGAGATAAAAAACACAAAAGTGGAGATAGAAAGCATAAAAAAGAGCCAGTCATAAATGAAGAATACATTAGAAGGAATCAGCAGTAGATTAGATGAAGCAAAGGACTGAGTCAGTGATTTGAAAGGTAAGGAGAACAAAACACCCAATTCAAAGAGCCAAAAGAAAAAAAGAATAAAAAAAAATGAGGATAGTTTAAGGGGCCTCTGGGTGGGGTAACATCAAGCATAATATTTGAATCATGGGGGTGCTGGAAGGAGATGAGAAAAAGTGAGGAATTGAATATAAGGATGGAAAACTTTTCTAACCTGGCAAAGGAAATAGACTTACAAGCCCAGGAAGTGCAGAGTCTCAGACAAGAGTAACTCAAAGAGGCCCACACCAAGACTCATCATAATTAAAATGGCAAAGGTTAAAAACAAATAGATAATCTTAAAAGCAGCAAAAGAAAAGCAGTAAGTCACTTACAAGGGAGCATCCATAAGACAGTCAGCTGACTTCTCAACAGAAACTTTGCAGGCGAAAAGGTATTGGCATGAAATATTCAAAGTGATGAAAAGCGAGGACCTACAACCAAGATTGCTCTACCCAGCAAGGCTATTGTTTACAATCAAAGGACAGGCAAAGAATTTCCCAGGTAAGAAAAAGCTAAAGGAGTTTATCACAACCAAACCAGTATTACAGAAAATGTTAAAGGGACTTCTTTAAGAAGAAGAAGAAACCAAAACGTCAAAACTATGAGTAATAAAAATGGCAATAATTATATATCTATCAGCAATTACTTTAAATGCAAATGGACTAAATACTCCATTCAAAATACACAGGATGGCTGAATGGATAAGAAGACAAGACTTTTAAATAGGGTGTCTACAAGAAACTTACTTTCGATTGAAAGATAGACATTTCATGAAAATATAAACAAAAAAAGTCAGGGAAGCAATATTTATGCATATATCAGGCAAAATAGACTTTAAAACAAAGGCTATAGCAAGAAACAGGGAAGGACCCAGCAATTTCACTTGTGAATATTTATTGACAAAACCCAAAACAGTAAATTGAAAAGACATGCATCCGTATGTTTCTTGCAGCGTTGTTTACAATAGCCAAGATAAGGAAGCAACCTAAGTGTCCATCAATAAATGAATGGAGAAAGAAGTAGTTTTGCATGTATACAATGCAATTTGGCTCAGCAATAAGAAAGCATGAAATTGTGCCTTTGGTAACAACATGGATGGACTTACAGGGTATTATGCTGAGTGATTTAAGTCAGACAGAAAAGGCAAATGCCATATGATTACACTGTGTGGAATCTAAAAAGCAAAATGAATGCACAAGCAGACAAGAAACAGACTTCTAGATGCAGAGAACAATTTGACAGGTGCTAGATGAGGGGGGATTATGGGTGGGTGAAAAAGGTAAAGGTATTAAGTACAAACTGGTAGGTAGAGAATAGTCATAGGGATATAAAGTATAGCATAGGGAATACAGTCAGTAATTTTGTGAAGACTATGCATGATGTCAAATGGGTACTAGATTATTAGGGTGATCACTTTTTAAGTTATATAAATGTGTAATCAGTGGGTTCTACACCTGAAACTAATATAATATTGTATGTAACTATAACTGAAAAGGTTTTAAAAATTATTAAAAAAATAAAAAGATAGCTCTGGCTGGGTGGCTCTGTTGGTTGGAGGGTTGTCCCTTACACCAAAAGCTTGCGGGTTTGATCCCTGGCCAGGGCTTGAACCTAGATTGCAGGTTTGATCCTCCATTGGGGCTTATATGGGAGGCAACTGATCAATGTTTTTTTCTCTCACATCGATGTTTCTCTCCCTACCCCTCTCTGTAAGCATATTCTTGGGTGAGGCTTTAAATACATTATTTTAAATAAATAAATAAAATAAAAAGATAAAGTAGTTGTATTAGTGACAGTTCCCTGAATTTTTATTTCAGAAAGTTCTTATTCTTTATGAAGGCCGTTTTCCTTAACACAAAATTCTACAGAGTGGTTTCTTAAATTACAAAATGTTCACTATTTTATTCCAATCTGATCTTGTTTACACAGTTTCAGAAAACAGGTTGAATTTAATTCATCTTTGTTTCTCTATACCTAATGTCTGTTTTCCCCTCTGGATTCTTTCAATATATTCTCTTTGTCTTTGATTTTTGTCTAATTTGAATATGCTATACTTGGGTATGCATTTTTGGTATTGAATGTTTAGTGTTTTAGAGCTTTCTGGATATAGTGTGCACCTGTCATTAATTTTAGGCAAGTTTGGAGAATATTACTTCACTCATCTCCTATTTCTTTTTTTTCAGTTATTCCCATTTTTTTTGTATTTTAATCCTCATGTTAAGAAAGGTTTTGCTTTCATGGGTATTGTGTTCTGTGTTTATTGTCCTTCATTGTCTTTCCATTAGACTCTGGTGATACAATTTTTGTTTTGTTTTGTTTTGGCACAATCCTTGTTAAAAACAGAATATTTGGAGTGTATCTCAAGTACCATCTGTTCTTTTTCCTAATTTTGGAGATACCATTTAACCTTTGACCTCGAGGCTCTTGATGGATCTGAGAATAGTAGTTTCACTTCTTCTTTTTTTTTTTTTTTTTCTTTTTGATGAGATCGAGAATGGCAGCTCTGAAGTTAAAGTGCCACACCAGAAGGTGACAAGGCAGCCTAGAGTGACTCGTCAGGGAAATTTTTCTTTGAAATCAGAGAATGGAAATTTTTTGTTTTTTTAGAAGGAAGGTACTATTGAACCTTTTATGTGTTCTGTAATGATGCTCAAACTCACCATCAGACCATATGGACTTCAGTGAGCTCCCTGGCAGTCTGCAGCTCTTAACTTGTTTCTCAAGGGAAGTGAAGCCCAGGGTACGCCATTAGGGTTTGATCAGAAAGAGCTCTCCTGACCTGTTCTCTCACTATGTGTTCTAGAATTTGGCAGGAAGCAGACCTGAGCATGAGTGCAGGGATTTTGTGGCCTAACTTGTTATGGCTTCTTTCCTCTATCTGAGCTCTAATTTCCAAATAACCTTCTAGCCCCATTAAATTGAACAGAGAGGGAAAGGAATTGCTGAGTCTGTGATACACAAGTTACAAGCAGTATTCTGCACAAGCATATTTACACTGAGTCAGTTGCATCTGATTACTGGCAAAGGCCTGGGCTTTAGGACAACATGGTCAACTGGCTTTGTTGAAAGTGGTTGTCACAGGCCGCCTGGACTCTCATGTTCAGTGATGGAAATAGGAGGAAAGGTGTCCAGTGTCACTGTATTTTATTGAAACTTCATGCAAATTTAAATCTCTGCCTCATGGATTGCTATGAATGGGGAGTAATAGCAGATGAAAGAATTATTTTCATGGGAAGTCAGTGGTCTTAAAATGATTATAATACATGTTTCATCTGTATGGCATTCCTGTTATTTCCCAAAATGGTCAAGACCCTGATATTACAGAGAAATAAGATGCACTGTGATCACAGTAAGAATGTGTAAGTAATTTCCCGGTGTTCAAAATGGTGTTAAACTTATGAGAAAGTAACTTTTAGATGACCAAGTCATAGAATAAATGTTTGGAGACAAGAGAATCTTAGGTAACTTTTCTGTAAATGGAGTGTAGGTGCCCAGTGCTGACAGTTTCACCTTTTACTGTACCTATATATTTGGGGTGATTTAGGACTCCCTGGCCTTTGAGGATGTGGCTGTGAACTTCAGTCTGGAGGAGTGGGCCTTACTGGATCCTTCACAGAAAAAGCTCTACAGAGATGTGATGACTGAAACCTTCAGGAACCTGGCCTCTGTAGGTAAGGATGAGGACATTCCTTCAGTCATCAGTTAGAGAACAAGAGTTTCTTGTTCAACAGTATTGTTTCAAGATCAGTAATGTGGGAAAAGGGGATGCTGGTAAATAATCTGGGCATGGCTAGAGCTCATCATGGATCTCACAGCAAATAATTTGTCTATCATACTAATTCTTTGGAATCATTTTTCTGGGTCTGCCTTTTAGGAAAAAGATGGGAAGAACATGACATTAAAGATCAGTACAAAAAACAGAGGAGAAAATTAAGGTGAGTCACCTTAATTAAGGTGAGAACAGAAAGCAGAGTCTCACTGCAGGATTCTAGAATTGGGTTGGCCAAAAAAGTTCATTTGTTTTTTTCCTTAAGATGGCTCTACTAGCGCTTAGTTGTCTTTAACTTCATTCAAAGCAATTTTGTTAGATTTTATTGTGACAGCTGTCACATCAGTGTGGATTAAAAAAAATCAAAATTGGTGAATTTTGTGTAGCCGTTTTAATGGTGAAAATCAAAGAGAATACACAACATTTTCAGCACTTTATGCTCTATTATTTAAAGAAAGGTAAAAACGCAAATGAAACACAAAAGATTTTTGCAATGTATGGAGAAGGTACTGTGACTGATCAAGTGTGTCAAAAGTGACTTGTGAAGTTTTATGCCAGAGATTTCTCACTGGACAATGCTTCCTGATCAGGTAGATCAGTTGAAGTTGATAGCAGTCAAATCCAGACATTGATTGAGAACAATCCATGTTATACTGTGTGTGAGATAGCCGACATATTCAAAATATCCAAATCAGTAGTTATTGGTGAAAATGAAAATGATGTCTTTTATTTTATGGACATTTTGGCCAACCCAATATGTTGTGAAATTTTTAAAATATGTAGCAACCAAAACAAACTCTGCTTCAAATGTATTCTTGTTAGAAAAAATTTTAAAAGTACTCTTTCAAATGTAACATATATGTTCAGTGTTTACTAAATAGTTCACTTGGAAGCAGCATTAGTAAACCTTATATTTGAATATCTCAGTTTCATAATAACAAGGGTAAAAAGTCTTGGAAAACATTCAGTATATTCTCAGACAAGACAGAATATACTTTTCCTATAAAACATAATAAATACAATTAATATAAAATTATTAATAAATTATTAATAATGTGCTTGTTTTTTACAGAAGTCCAATAGTAGTGAGAATTGGTGAAAATAAGGAGGTTAATCCACATGGAGAAAAGTTCAGCCTTATTTCAAATCACAATCTGAAGAAAAAAACCAGAGTGAAGCAAAATCAATGCAGAACACGTGGAGAAGTTTTTGTGTCTCGTTCATCCCTTAGTAGGCACAACAGATGTCACACTGGACACAAAGCATATGAATTTCAAAAAAATGGAGAGAAGCCTTATAAGTGTAAAGAATGTGGGAAAGCCTTTAGTCATCTACTCTGGTTGGAAAAACATAAGGGAACCCACAATGGAGAGAACCCCTATGAATGTCAAATATGTGGTAAAGCCTTCAGGTCTTCCAGAAATGTTAAAGTACATGAAAGAACTCACACTGGAGAGAAACCCTATGAATGTAGAATATGTAGTACAGCATTTAGGTATCTCAGTGATCTTCGAAGACATGAAAGAACTCACTCTGGAGAGAAACTCTATAAATGTAAAATATGTGGTAAAGCCCACAGAGACCACTGGTCTTTTAAAATACATGAGAGAGTTCATACTGGAGAGAAACCCTATGAATGTAAGAAATGTGGTAAAGCCTACATATCTTTTAGGTCCTTAAAGAGACACAAATCAACTCATACTATGGAGAAACCCTATGAATGTAAAATATGTAATACACCATTTAGGTATCTCAGTGATCTTCAAAGACATGAAAGAACTCACACTGGAGAGAAACCCTATGAATGTAAAATATGTAGTACAGCATTTAGGTATATCAGTGATCTTCGAAAACATGAAAGAACTCACACTTGAGAGAAACTATATATATGTAAAATATGTGGGTAAAGCCCACAGAGGGAAAAAACCTCACACTACAGAGAAACCCCATGAATGTAAAGTATGTGTTACAACAGGAAGGGACATAGCTTGCACTCCAGCAGGAAGGTGTTTGTATTACCCAAACAGAAGTGAGGTTTCTCCTAGCCCAGCAACAGGACCGCTTGGAAAAATCACTGCCGCCCTGAACTCTCACTTTCATTCAAAGCACTTCTTCCAAACTTCCTCCTTTTTCTCTATAAAGTAGCATTCCTTTTTTTTTTTTTTTTTTTTTTTTTGGTGCAGTTTGCCTATAGATTTTGCTCTGGCATGTTTGTACCAAATTACAATTCTCTGCTATAACCAAATAAATGTACTTTACTAGTTTTTTTTTAAAGTTCAACAGTGTTGGCGAGTCATGGTACTGATGACTTGGGCACACGTAATGTCATTCAACAAAAACATCATTAATACTAATCAATAAGTCTCCAAGACACTCTAAACACACAAATGCTTTAGAAGTTTTTCATGAAGGAAAACTCCTGCAGCCGTGATAGCAGATGACCAGTTAGCTTTGGTGTATTTATTAGCAGCCAGGGTGAGTTCTGTCCCCCAGAAGGGCGGCCTGCTGCATGGGTCGGCTAACCTGGCACGGTGCCACCTGTAACAACAAATCAAACACTAACATTAGTAACACATCTGAACAGAGTTCAGGATCCATACTGACACTTTTTGGGTTTCTCCTGGACTCTAGGATGACTAGGTTCAAATATTTTTGAGGCTTCATCATCTTAATTGTATGTTGCTTGTGCTTTTCACATTCTCAATATTTGAGTTCAAATTCATTTAAATGAGATGTCATTATTCAGTTGTCATTAATAAGACTCTCTGACCTCATTTTTGTTATCTGACTTTTAATTGGCTTTGGATACCTGCTCATCCTGCCTGGTCCAGAATCATCGGTAAAGTTATGAAAGTCGACACTTCTTTATGTGTCGACACGTCTTTATGTGTGTCAGCAGGTAGAGAGCTAAGCCTTGAAAACCCTCAGCCTCCACTCTTACACACATGAAAGGGCCAACCCCACACATGGAAGAGCCAACCCATTCACCTTTGCACACACCAAATAAACCAGCTCACCCTTGCCCAACTCTCCTTTGAAAGTACATTTGAGAAACATTTTCATTCAGTTGATGCGTGTGGGGACATCAGTTTTGGCATCTGATTTGATTTTAGGGTATTCTGCTCCCACAAGGGCATTGATATAACAGTTAAACAATGGAAAATGTCTCTAGGGTTTTTTGTATTTAATCCTCACCTGAGGATATATTTATTGATTTTAGAGGAAAAAGGGATAGAAACATCGATGTGAGGGAGGAACATGGAGCGGTGGCCTCCCATATGTATCCCAACGGGGGATTGAACCAGAAACCTAGGTATGGGCTGGGATGGATCCAATCCAAAACCTTTCAGTGCACAGGACGATGCTCCAACCAGCTGAGCCACCTGGCCTGGGCCAGGGTATGTTTTGTACTTGGCTCTGTGGTTCTTAAGATTTCAAGATGTCTTCCAGCATTAACCTCAGGAGACTTTGAAAAGATAAGAGATTTATGACTTGCAATACCTACAAATTGCACAGCACACCTGGGGCCATAGACAAGTTTGTAGGGAGGGAGCGCGCCCTGAGCATGGGTGCTGATGGACCTGCGGTTTTGCCTTAATTGGCGTTGGGGATGGGGGCCTAGTGTGTCATGAACTGTCTCTGTGGGTGAATTTTAAACACAAGAATGGGAGTTTAAGTCGTGGAGAGAGTAAACAAGTTGCTCAGTTATTGAAATCAAGATTTCTAAAAGGAAGGAGCCTCAGCGAGGGGAGGAGGCTGGGCTCTTTAGTCCTGTGGCTGGCAATATGTTTAATTCAAGATCCGCTTTGAAGTGGATGCCTCTTTGAAACGGATGCCTCCGAAATCAAAGCTTTAGTCATGTACTTGCATTGCAACAAAGGAAAACCCCAAATATCAGGACTTACACTACAGGGTGACACAGGTATTAAGGATAGGGAATTTTTATATAATGAGGAAAAGAAATCCAAATACAGAGATCCCAGTATGAAAATGTATTTTAGATGCATTGGTCACAAAATAAAAACCTTGAAACCATCCACATGGTGGTCATTAGCAGTAGAATCAATAAGTGAAAATGGTATAGTGTCACAAGGAGACACACAGAGCAACACGAATGGATTGTTCTGGTCTGATTTGTAAAGAACTCTTGTCTACACAACAAGAGAGGAAAAACAAAAAAAAAACCCTGAGAGATTATTTCCTGTATCCATGAGATATTTGAGATCTCATGGCAAGCCAGTACTCCCAAAATGAAAGGTGAAAATGGAGAATTAACTGCTTTCCCGGAGGAGAGAAACCTAGAGCTAGTAGCTTTTAACATATATAAACTGTTAATGATTAATTTTCTGGATACAAAGAATGGACTGGCCTCATAGTTAAAAACCTAAGGGAGTCCAGTCTTAGCAAACACCACAAAATTTATAAATTTTTTTTTACAGGAGTCCAAATATGTTCTCATTGTAAAACTTGGGGAAAAATTTTGCTTCATGCTTTAGGCAGCAAATGAGGGAAAACATTTTGATATATACTCAAAGCATTCTGTTCTCTGTATTTTCGTCTATCTGTCAAAGAAAGTAATTTTGCCAAAACCTTATTTGATTGTGAAGAGTCATCAGACAACTCCCAGTCCCTTCAGGTTTCCTTTAAAAAAAGGAGGAATTAATACTAAGAACGTGCTCTGAAGTTCATAGTCTAGGGATTGTTTAAAAAAAGTGACAGGTTTAATCATAACAGAAGACAACATTTTCCCACCCCAAAACCTGACCACCATATGAACCAAGCTACAGCATAAAAGCGGTGGATTAAAACATTATTGCTGCTAGATCTGGCCTCTACTTAAAAGCTTCTAGGGATGCCCAAACACACCAGAGGAGAAATATACAAGGACTCTATGAGGCACAAGGAGTAGTAAAAGGGATGTTGCCAGGAACCGTGTTCCATGCAAAAATGATACATGGTTGTTGCAGGGTAGTTTACTTGCAGCAAGTAAAGAGGACTGGATTCATATCCAGCTCTGCCTCCCTGAAGGGAGGTTTAGCCATTGCTCATATGCACTGTTTGGTCAATTACATAATTGGTTACTTTGCACTTGACTACTTGGGTTGAGTTCTGGTAAACTCATTCTGTTTACAGCTGCATCCACAAAATACTATGCTACATTTTAACATGTAGAACTGCCTAAGCCTTGAGATCCTTTTCTCATCTATGTTAAGAAAGATATAAAATTAAGACTGAAAGTTACACCTCAAGGAACTTGAAAAAAGAATAACTAAACTCAAAAAGCAAAATGAATACTTTGAAAACTAAAAACATGGTCAAAGGAAAAGTCTCAATTCATGGTTCAGAAGACTTAACATTCCTGAAATAGCACTATTTCATGAAATGATCCAAAAACTGGCAAGCTGATTCATAGATTTATGTGGAATTGAAAAGCAACCAGAATAACAAAACAATCTTGTAAAATAAAATACTAGTACTAACATTTCTTGATTTCAAAACTTTATACAAGACAACACAAGATTGTTTGGTACTGACACAAGGATTGACACACATTTGTGGAATAGATTGACATTTGAGAAATAAACCCCTACATTTATGGTCAACTGATATTTGACAAGGGTATCAAATGGAAAAAGAATATTCTTTTTATAAATTGGTCCTGGGCCAAATGGATAGACTTATGTAAAAAAATAAAAAACAAACAAAAAACCCCCAAAACCCCCACAAAAAACAGGTTTTACACTTATACCACATACTATACCAAAAATGATCAAAGACCCAGTACAACATTAAACCTGTAACTAACTTAGATAAAACAGAAAAAAAAATCCTGACCTTGGATTTGGCAAAGAATTGTCAGCTATGACACCAAGGGCAACAATGGGGAGAAAATTAGGTAATTCAGACTTCATCAAATTAATGAGTTTTGTGCTTCAAAGGACACCATCCAGAAAGTGAACAGAGTTCCTTTGGAACTCTGTGCAAAATTGCTGGGAATATAAAATCATGTTGCCTGTATGAAAAACATGACAGTTCTTCAGAAAATTAGGAACTGAGTTACCATCTGATCTAGCAATTCTACTTCTGTGTAATAACACTAAAGAATTGAAAGGAGGGACTCAAACAGATATATTCATATGTCCACTCGTGTTTATACTAGTATTATTCACAATGGACACAAGTTGGAAGTAACCCATATCCATCAATGGCTGAATAGATAAAAAAAAAGGCACATATAATGGACTGTCATTCAGCTTTAAAAACAGTGAATTCTGACACATGCTACAACATGGAAGAACTTTAAGGACATTATGCTAAGTGAAATCAGCTTGTCATAAAAGATCAAATACTGTGATTCCATTTGTGTGAGGACCTAGAGCAGTAAAATACATAGAGACAAAAAAGAAGAATGGTGGGTGCCAGGACTTGGATATGGCAAGATGAGGAGTTGTCTTCCAATTGGTATAGTTTCAGTTCTCAGGATAAAAATTGTTCTGGAGATTGGTTTCATGATATCTGTGTACTCCACGCTACTAACTACACTTTAAAATGTTGAACATGTAAATGTTATTGCATGTGTATATTGCCAGAATTAAAAGTAAAGCATTTAGTCCTGGCTGGTGTGGTTCAGTGGATTGAGTGCCAGCCTGCGAACCAGAAGGTCGGCGGTTCGATTCCCAGTCAGGGCACATGTCTGGGTTGCGGGCCAGGTCCCTAGAAGGGGGTGCACAAGAGGCAACCACACATTGATGTTTCTCTCCCTCACTTTCTCCCTCCCTCCCCTTCTCTCTAAAAATAAATAAAATCTTCAAAGAAAAGTAAAAAATTTAATGCAAGAGAGTGAAAAACACAATCCACAGAAAGGAGGAAAATTTTGCAAATTATGTATCTGATAAGGAGTTTGTACTGAAAAAGACGGCTTATAACTCAGTTACAAAAAGTTAAATAAATTAATTTAAAAATAGCAAAAGAAAAGCAAAGAATTGAATATTCATTTTTTTAAATTATTGATTTGAGAGAGAGAGAGAGAGAGAGAAAGAAACATTGACTTGCTGCTCCACCTATCCATGCATTCATTGGTTGCTTCATGTATCTGCCCTGACCAGGGATTGAACCCACAACCTTGGTGCATTAGGGTGA